ACACCAGAGCTTTATTCAGAGGCCATCACAGCAAGGCCAAGCAGGAAGGCCAGAGCAACAGAGCAGGAGCCAAGAGAGCACGTGATCTGACCACGCTCCATCCTTAAGTACCTACTTAGCCCCTCCTCCCCAGCCCGCTTACCAGACAATGATTGTAGGGTCAGATACCGGAAAGGGCTGTCTGAGTTTAGCACACCAAGGGAGAGGGAGTGACGCAGGAGGCTAGGACCGGATACAGGAAGGAGGCATCTGGGATTAGTGCATAGACAGAGTACGTGACCTAGGAAGTCAGGAAGGTCACAGGAAGGAGGCGTCTGGGGTTGACGTTGCATATAGGGAAGGGACTAAGCAAAGGGAACTCATCCTCTGCCGTCCCACTCCCACGTGGCACCGCCCCTTGCCTCAGGAGAACATGCTCTGGCTACTTCCTTGCACCCAGCTTATCTCACATAGCACTGCCCACTGCATCAGGGCTTCTCCGTACCCAGCCCATCCCAGTTCACCACAACTCCGCCTACCACAGCCCCTGCCTCGACTTCCAAATACCCAGATTCTACCCCAATCTTGCCACAATGTTCACCTGGTAGCTGCCAACATCAGACAGTCCTTCACAGATACAAAGTTATATCTTGGAGGTAGATAATAGACAAAATGATTTGGCAACTGATTGAGTGTGACAGATGTGAGAGAGGGAAGAAGTGAGGATGACTCTGAAGTTGCAAATTTGGGTGATTAAAAGGATTGCTAAGTACAACAGATAGAGAGTCTGGTCTGGAGCCAGGGAGACTCATCTCTCTGAGCTCAAATCTGGCCTCAGACACTTACTAGCTGTATGACCCTGGGCAAGTCACTTCACCCTGTTTGCCTCAGTTTCTTCACCTGTAAAATGAGCTGGAGAAGGAAATGGCAAACCAATCCAATATCTCTGCCAAGGAAACCTCAGAAGGGGTCACAGAGTCAGACGCAACTGAAAAATTACTAAACAACAACAACAACAATGACAAAAGATTGTAGTCCTTCAATATAAATAGGGAAGTTAGGAAGGAAGAAAGCTTGTCCTTGTTTCAGCTCATAGAAGATAAACATTTCTGAATATTTGTTTTATTCTCTACTGTCTTTCTTTGTGCAGGTGGTAAAAGTATTATGATAAGGTCAGGATAAGAATGTGACCCAATGCCAACCTATCAGGAACTTTTTTCTAGAAAATTTCCTAGGAAAGGCAGAAATTAATATTTGGAAAAAATAAAAAGACTAGAGAAAAAGATAGAAACTAGGCAAGGCTGTCTTGAGTTTCCGGGTGTTACCACGCAAGGAGTCTGGAAAAGAGAAGAGAGTTTTGGATTGAGCATCAGCTTAACCATTAACCAGATGCCTAATCAGGCAGTAAGTATAGTGAGATAGTGCCTAGCTTAGAAATACAGCAGCTAAGTGATGCTGTTGAGATCATACTAGACCCAGAGTCAGGAAGACCTGAGTTCAAATTCTGACTCATACATTTATGAGCTGTGTTGCTATGGGCAAGTCACTTAACTTGTCTCAGCCTCAGTTTCCTCATCTGTAAAATGGGGATGATAATAAGAGTACCTACCTCCCAGGGTTGTTGTGAGGATCAAATAAGATAATATTTGTAAAGTGCTTGGTAAACTTTAACATGCTTTATAAATGCTAGCTATTATTGTTGTTGTTGTTATTATTATCATTATTGCTGTTATTATAACCCAGCTCTGATAATTGCTAATCAGCAGTACTTGTTTACTTTACAACGTTATTACAAGGCGAGCATGATACAAATGTTGCTCAAATTTCTTTGACACATAGTTTCCCCCTTCATAAAATGACGAGGGGCGGGGGGTAAGCGGTGTTGAACTACCTCAATTATTATCTTCAACTGAATCAAAAGGATCTGTGCCTATTCTAGCCCAGGGAGTCCTATTCCCTTGGCATTCAGATTCACTCAATAACATCTGAGTTATGATACTTGGTCCTGCATGCTCTGTTTTAAAAAGGTCATTGATAAGGTGGAGAATACTGGGAAATGGACAACCAGGTTGGTGGAAGAAGTGGGCTTGAGAATATGGTGGTCTCCAAGCAAAGGTTGGATGACTATTTTTGGGAATGGTAAAGAGGGGAGTCTTATTCAGGACTGGCTTCTGATGGCTTCTGGGGTCCCTTCCAACTCAGAGGTCCTGGGGTCCTGGCTGATCCTGAGTGTTCTGTTGTACCCAGGGATGTTGTAGAATTCCTGTTCACCAGGAAAATTGTTCTATCAGAGATCCTGTCTAATTATGCATTCTTAAAAGATAGCTCTGGTACATCATTGGTGCTTAGTTAATCTCATTATTTTCATCCCTATGCTAGTGATAGTGGCAATGACAGTAATCATGTGTAATAGGGATTAGGGTATGTATAATGCTTGTCACAGGTGCGTTCCCAATGGTGACTACCTCCAATGAGGGGAGAGAGCAGAGCTGATAGACCATGATGTCTGACTCGTTCCAGGAGGAACAGAGGTAGAAAATTTCTTCTTTTGAAATTTTCCCTCTACCCTCTTTTAAATTTCAGGCTTGGGGTCAGGAGTGGGGAAGGCAGAGGAAGATTCAGAACTGAATGAAATGAAAATTAAAGTTCTTACTTTGGTTGAGAGATCAAAGGTATTCGATGAATGGAGCTAGGAGGTAGATGACAGGGAACTCAGCATTTTGCTGCTGTATCGAGGGGTTTGTGTGACATCAAGATGTCATGGTACATTCTCACCATGGAAGGATGCCATGGAACTCACTGCGTATTTCAGTGATGTATCATCCCTCAGGTCTCTCTGTGTTTCTACATGTCTGCTAAAGGGCTCTCCTGTCCTCTAGAAGTCAGGTCTTCTATCACAGTGCCCTTCTATTTGTGCAGGGTTTCTTAACTTTTTTTTTTTTGTGCTACCGGCCCCTTTGGCAGACTGGTGAAGCCTATTCTCTAGCAGTCTGGTGAAACCTGTTCTCAGAATGTTTTTAAAGGAGTAAAATAAAGTACACAGGATTACAAAGGAAACCCATTATAGTAAAAGACTTATCAAAATATTTTTAAAAGCCAAGTCCCTAGACCTCAGTTTAAGAGCCCCTGTATAAAGTGCTTTTGCCTGAGTGCTTTAATTAATTCTCAAGCACCAAGAGTACTCATCACTTCTAAAACAGAGGCTCCATATTTGGACTCTTCATTCCACTGCATTGGTTTCATATCAGAGAATAAAGAATCAAGACACTTTTTTTTTTTTACAACAAACAGGGCTTGCAAAGATAGATTTGGTGTCTTCAAATAGAGTACAGTTTCTCCAGTTACCTGTAGAAATAAAAAGAGCTTAGATTTTTCCCATTTTCCTTCCTACTGCTGTTGCTGCAAACAAGCATCAGGGCAGTGACTGAGAGTTCTGAACCCTGGGGCCGGCTTCTCAGGCTACTTCCTGGCCACTATTTTCCCTTCAGTTGAAGGGCATTGGTGACACAGGGATTATCTTTTTGGAAGGTGAGGCTGTTATTGACTTGATGGTAATGCTTCCCTTAGCAAAAGCTTCCCTGAGTTATTATTAAAATTCTGTGAATGACCTAAAACTGAGTAATTGGGGGGTATTTGGTGTGTTGCTGCTATTGATTTTGTAATGTCTATTAAACGTATGGTATGAATTGGTAGCTACATCTGTCAGTTGTGAGTTCAAATTGAGTGTACAAAAGACTTCTTTGTTGCATGATAATTTTGTGTCTCCCTTCCGTGCTTTGCATGGAAAATGGAGATAGGGAGATACAACTTCCATTTCTCTCAAAATATTAGCACCACAATAATTTAAAGACAGTGTGGGGAGAAGGGAAAAGACCTGATTTCTAGTCTAAGCTCTGCCAGTAACCTCAGCCACGTCTCTTCAGCAACCGGGACTTCAAATTTCTCATTTTAACAATTCAATTAAGCATTTATCATCTGTAAGATAAGGGGGTTGGACTAAATGACTCTTCTGGTTCTGCTTGGAGAATGTCTATAAAATGTTTTGAGTTCAGTGAAGAAAATAACAATAGCAACAATAATTAATTCATCACATTTACTATGGAGGTTTTAAAGAACATTTCTTGCATTTTCAATAAGCTTTTCATTAAGGATATAATCACTGATCTTTTTGTCTTTTTCACTTACGTTGACATCCTCTGAATAATCTGGTTTTATACCAACATGAATATAAATGTTATATTTGAATTACATGTATATTTGTGTGTATATACATGTGTGTTATATATATATTGCATATACTATATCATATTGTAGAATATATTCATTATATAATATATGTTAATATTAACAGTATAAATATTAATATTATTATAAGTTAATATTAATAAGTATATTAATATATATAGATTTGTATATAATTGATATCATATTTGCATGTGACGTGTATGTGTATATATACATGTATGTCTAGCTGGCCCATATATCTAGACCAACTTGAATATATACATTCATTCTACATATCTCTATAACTTAGCTACATATTTGTATACACAATACACTTATCTTATGTAAACATCTAGAAATACATATATGTACACAGAGATAAATCTCGGTTGGCCCCTCACCTCATAGCCGATCAATTTCTAGTGTTCAGTTTCACTTTATATTTATGTTACTGGGAATCAGGCAAACCTGGACCTATGATAGGAGTAGTAGACTAAAGCCCTTTTACAAGTTGGCCCCTTGGATGATATTCAGGCATGCGTGTTTTCTTTTTTTCCATTCTGTTTCTTACATTATAATGGCTTTCTGGCTTTATAGTCAAAGCTTATAAAGAAAAGGCTCTTTTCTTCTTGCCAGCCAGGGGTGGGGGTGGGGGGTGGGGGCGGGGATCCCACTTTGGTATTCACAATACAGATATGACAAATGCATGGCCTGTGTTCTAGGTGTTTGGGGAAATGTAAAAACATGTCGAGTTGCTGCAAATGCTCACATGGTGATTTGTTGGTTTGATTCTTCAGGTCGTGATTTGGCAAGCACAACCCTCCCAGGATACCCTCCACACGTCCCCCCTGCTGGACAGGGCAGCTACTCTGCTCCAACTCTGACAGGGATGGTGCCCGGTGAGTTTTCAAAATGCAGCTTTTCTGAAGCAAGCAAAGTGCTTTCTGGTTGTTATGTGTGGAGGCCGGCAGCCGACTGAGAGATGTGCGTGGAAAAAAAAAAATCTGCCATATAGTCCAAAGTAAACTCACGAGTATCTGAAAAAAAAAAAAAAAGAACATAAATGAATACTTGCACTAGCCTATTTCTCCAATGCAATGCTGCTTCCTCTACTTTGCATTTGCAAGTAACAGATTATTCAGTCTAAGGCATTGATTTGGCTTTTGTGCTAATTCTTCTTCAAGGCTGTTTGATGTGTCCAATAGGGAGGACTGGAATTGGCAGGAATATCCCCTCTTCTTTGATTGTCTAAATGTTTAAAACTCATCAGGACTTGGTGAAGATTTGTTCAAGGGAGAGAGAGGCTCCTCGAAGTGACCTAAGTCTTGTTATTTTAACACACTCCATCTATCAATAAACATTTATTAAGCACCAACTATGTGCCAGGCACTGTGCTAAGAGCTGGGGATACAAAAAGAGGCAAAAGAAAATCCCTGAATTCAAGGAGCTCACAATCTAACAGGGGAGACAATATGCAAACAAATATATACAAAGCAAGCTATATACAAGATAAATAGAAAGTAATTAACGGAGGGAAGGCACTGGAATTAAGACAGCTTCTTCTTAATGAACCATTCATACCTTTTGCAACTGGCATCCTCCTGGGTGTTACAGTTCTGTTAGCTTCTTGCCATCCACAGTTCAAGGTTTTTGAAAAGTGGGAAACATCCACTGCTTTATAGCTAGAGTTGGTGGAAAGGTAGGAATAGCAACAGCCTTATTATGCTGGTGGTACAATTTGTGCCATAACCTGGCATCTTTGAAAGCTGAGACCCTGGGCAATCACTTGACTTTTCTAGGCATCAGTTTTCTCAACTGTGAAACAAGAGGTTTGGAACAGATGAACTCTAATCTAATTTCTAGCTTTACTCTACGATACTATGATTGTTATTGCTACCATTACTCCTATATTAACTCTCTTCTCTCTTCTACCCTTCCCTGAATTTGGGGAAAGAAAATAGAGAAAGAAATTATGACCCACATATTTCTCTCTTCATGCCCAACTTTAAAACTACTCAGTAAGAGAAGTCATTAAATCTATCCTCTCCTGCCTCTGCAACTAAGACTCTTTCCAGCTAACTTGTTGTTTTTCAGTCATTCCAGTCATGTCCAACCCTTTGTGGTCTCATTTGGGGTTTTCTTGGCAAAAATTCTAGAATGTTTTGCCATTTCCTTCTCCAGATCATTTTACAGATGAGGAAACTGAGGCAAACAAGGTTAAGTGACTTGCCCAGGGTCACACATCTAGTAAGTGTCTGAGGCTGGATTTGACTCAGGTCTTTCTGACTCCAGGCCTAGCACTCTATCCACTGAGCCACCTAGCTGGCCCAGCTGGTAGGGGTTTGGTTTTAGAGAGCATGTGGGGTGCAATAGGGGATATATGTGCATATTTTCTCCCCGATAGAATGTAAGCTCCTTGAGGGTAGGGACTATTTCATTTTTTGTCTTTGTATCCCCAGCATTTTTCACAGTGCTTGGCATATAGTAGGCACTTAATAAATGCTTATTGAATGCTTTCTCCCAAAGTGTAACTATATCACATTTCAATACTTGCAGTATCCTTGCCAGGATGAGTTTTCAAAATATTCAATACTAATAAGATCTTAACATGTGTATAGCACTATATATTTCACAAAGGCTTTCTCCTCTATTATTGTATTCAATTAAAAAAAGAATTTTGTGAAATTCAGGAAAATGTAATTGCTGACATTCCTAGTCACTGTTTCTGGTGAAGCTTTCTTTTCTCTGCATTGAGCACCTTTACAGTGAACTAAGCTTGCATGCGGAGGAGGGAAGGGGGGAATTGAGAAAGAGGGGAGCGGGCGGAGAAGAGATTCACATCAGTAGCACTGGGTTTTGACACACATTCAAGGTGATTCACATTGCCTTCCTGCCATGAACAGAAGCAGGAGCAAGTGGAAAATTTGAAAGCCCAGCCAGTGCTCACAAGATTTTCTCAGCTCAGCTTTATAGACACAAAAGGTTGATCTAGTTCAGAGAAGCACCTGAACTTTTTACAGGATTATCCAAACGGAATCTGCACTCTGAACCACTGGAGGTTCTTGCAGCCTTAATTACAGTAAGGATTATAAAAATGACTCCAAATTTAGCAGAGCCCACATAATTCTCAGAATATATGAAGGTTCTTTTAACATTAACTGGAGCTACAGGAATTAAAGATTAGAACAAGTGCATATTTTTAATGATAAGCCTGCTGTGCCACAGCTGTGTCAGATACTCAAATGCTCTGAACGAGGTTCTCGGTGTCTCTGCACCCCCATGGCAATGATCCCCTGGAGAAGTTTAAGCACAGGTCTGCAGGTTGGTAAGCAAACAGTTTGGCAAGGGATAACCCAGTACACTGCAGGTATGGGCAGCTGTGTCTTAATGCCCCCTAATGGTGCCACCAATTTTTCACACTTTGGTTTCCATTTTTATTTCAAGAAGCTTGCTGCTAGAAGGCGTGTGTGTGTGTTTGTGTGTGTGTGTGTGGGGGGTGGTTAATGACTTCACATAGCACTTCCCTTTGTTACTTGAGAGCAAAAATGATTTCATCAGTGTATTTGTGTCTCCTGCTTTCTTCCTTCAAGTACCTAGCATAGTGCCTGGCACATAGTAGGTGCTTAAATAAACACTCATTGCTTGATTTCGGTAAGGCACTCTGGTTAGAGTCAGACGTGGAGCTTGTGGATTGACTATCAGTGCCCACAATCAGTTGGTCTTTTCCCAGGATCATAGAGCCAGAGCTGAAAGGGATTTCAGAGGCGATCTAGTTGAACATTTTCATTTTGCAGGTGAGGAAATTGAGACCTAAGGAGATTAGGTGATTTGCTCAAGGTCACATGTATCAGAGGTGACATTAAAACCCATTTTCTCTCATTCCAAAGACAATGGTCTTTCCCCTGTTCCATATTGCCTCTCTTTAACACATCTCAAGGCCATTCATTTATTCATCTATCAACAAATATATTAAATGTGTATTCTATGCCAGGTATTGTGTTAGGTGCCTGAAGAAAGACAATATAGAAGAATAAAAAAAATCTCATTAGGTCAAATGTTTAGAATATCTGCCTAGTATATGCCAGGCTTGGGAGTTTCCCAATTTTTAGCATTTCAACATTTATTAAACACCTATTATACTCGAGGCATTATGCTAGGTACTGAGGATATAAGGATGGTTACAATCCAAACTTTGTTTTCAAGAAACCTTATAATATTTCTGTTTAAGCAGTATATTGTGTGTTTGCAATTTGAATATTGACTGAATATGCAGTCTCTCTCTCTGTCTGTCTGTCTCTTTGTCTCTCTCCCTCATTTTCTCTTTGTCTTTCTCTTTGTCTCTGACTCTACTTCTGTTTTTGTCTCTCTCTCTTGGATAAAGCCAAAAATGATATGTACATCCAATTTGCGATTGACACAAAGTTGGGAGAGAGCTACCCCACTGGATGACAGTGTTAGGATTCAAAAAGATGTTGAAATACTAGACCATGGACTGAATCTTAAAGACAAATGCAAAGTTTTACACCTGGGTTCAAAAAATCAGCTTCAAAAGTATAAAATGAAGGGGAGGCCATAGCTAGTTCTAGGCAGCAATTTTTCTAAAAAAGATCTGGGTTTTTCAGTGAACTGCAAAGTTTATATGAGTCAAGGGTGTCTGGTGATGTGTCCGCTAAAAATGCTAATGTATTATTAGACTACATTAAGAGGAACACAATGTTGGCAACAAGAATGGTGCTAAGTCTCATTGTACTCTGCCCTGGTCCTACCTTATGTGGAGTATTTTGTTCAGTTCTGGTTACCCCATTTTAGTAGGGACATGGATAAGTTGGAGAGCATCCAGAGAAGGCCAACCAGGCTGATGAAGAGCCTCAAGATCACATTATGTGAGGGTGGATTGAAGGAACTGAGACTACTTAACCCAGAACACAGAAGACTCAGGGGAGCCATGATAGCAATAGTCTAGTGTGTCAAGCGTGGGCATGTAGGAAAGGAATTTGACTTTTTCTTCTTGGTGTTTGAGGACAGAACTAGGAATAACAGGTAAAAGTGGTAAAGGGGTAAATTAAGCTTTATGTAAGGGAAAATAGCTTGACCCAAAAGTAGAAAAGTCTGCCTCAGAAGAAAAGTAGGTTCCCCCCTCTTCGGAAGTCTTCAGACAAAAGTGGGGTAACCACTTGTCTTATTGTTCTTCAGTCGTGTGCAACTCTTTGTGACCCCATTTTGGTTTTTCTTAGCAAAGATACTGGAGTGGTTTGCCACCAGCCCATTTTACAAATGAGGAAACTGAGGCAAATAGGGTTAAATGACATAGCTAGAATCACACAGCTAGTAAGTATCTGAGGCTGGATTTGAACACAGCTTCTCCTGACTCCAGGTGTGGTGCTCTATCCACTGCTCCACCTCACTTTCTAGGGCTTCTTACTGAGATGGATGATGCTTTCTGAGTGATAACAAGAGAAGCTTGTGTTCCTTTGGCCAAATGTACTCTTTATAAGCATTATTTCATTTAATCCTCAGATAAAACCCTGTGAGATGAAGAGAGTAACTATGATTTCACCACTTTCAAAGATTCATTATTTTATCGATGTAGGTATTTCTTCTACTGATGATCACCTTTCTACATCTTCATAGGCAGCTAATTGAGCTTCTATGGACACCGCCCCCCCCCCAATCCATCATTTCATAGTCAACCTTCTGGTGATTCTGGTCCTATAAAGGAAAGATACTCACATTCTGTCACCAACTCCTTCTTGAAATCTTCCAGCTCAGTAGGACCTGAGAGAGCTTGTCCTGTGGCCTTTGAGAACTCAGGGTCACCTCCATGCGTCATGGAGGCAGTGAGGTAGTAAACTGGATAGAGCACAGAACTTAGAGTCAGGAAGACCCAAGTTCAAATCTT